GAAGCTCCGAGAAGACTTGAGTGTCCAGACAACCGGTGGCCATATGTCTGACCACCACCCTAGCTGCGATATCGAAAGCGCTATGTTAAGCATAACGTTAAAAGTCAGAGTGCGAGTGGTCCCAAGCGCCCCACTTATTTCAATGCGGCCAGCTTATTGCACTCACTCCAGCCTGCTGATCATATCGAGTCTGGACTATTTAAGGTTAATTTCGGGACTAGTTCAAAACCAGCTCTGGATAGTTCACGACTATTTGAGGACTATTTCGGGACTAGTACGGATTATTTCGAGACCGTTTGCAGAAGATTTGTTCGGAATCCTTTCCGGACAAGTTTACGACGTTTTCAAAACTTCTTCAGAACCATTTTCGACCAGTTTCCGAGAAACCTATGGATATATATACATACAAACAGATATACAGTGACGAGCAAAACTGTAACATGGTGTAACACTTTTTATTTCAGCCACCGCTATATTTCTAAGTTCTAACGACTTTCATTCTTTTGTTGTATATTCTTGTTGGTACATCCCTACTCCCTCTCNAAAATGTTTATATAAGGAGATCTTGATAGAAAGACATGCAGAATGCAGCGGGGTCCACCAATTTGACTACTTTGGGAGCAACTGTGAATGTCCTCGCAACAAGATTAGCACAAACAGCACTTTCTTTTGTGTATATATCGGTTCTTCTAGTTGCGTTTGTGAAGTGAAAATTCTTTAGCCGCGGTTGGCACACGGAAATGGGGCAACGGAAATAGTTGGGACTGAAACAAGTGCTTCTTGAGTGTATGCACGTGGTATGAATTTAACCAAAAGCTTGCTAATAAAAGGTTAAAGAATAACACTTAAAAAATACCAATACAAGACTGAAAGTAAAGGTGAGTACGTACATAAATAAATACAAGTATTTTTTAAGCAAAAAAAACCGACTTCAATTCTCATATAAAAATTTAAAAGTACCGTTAATTTTTTCATGATCCAATGATCGGATCCAAATCAGATTAGTATGGGACCACCTCTGAGACACTGCCTTTCCGATGCAGAAATAGTACTCGAAATCGGTTGACTTGGTCCAAAGTTATGCGGTAACATACATAAAACAAGTAAGAGCAGCGCTGTCTTCGGCTATGCCGAAGGCTTCATACCTTTCATGAACATCTGCAAATTTTACTTTGACAGATTACTGCTTTTGAATACATCTGCATACATCGATAGAGGAGTTACATACTTATATAAAAAATCGCATCTAAACAATNGATGAACTGAAGTGGAAGTCGGTTAAAAACAAAGATAAATATAAAGAAAAAGATGAGGATGAGGATACCGATAAAAGTATTGATGAAGTTAGAGGAAGAATGATTAAACTAAAGGTACTTATAGAGAAAACAATGTAGATAGAGACACAGAGACTCAATCTGGGAACTATTTTGGAATGTTTGAGATTTTCGGGATTCTCGTAACTAACCCATATTTTTACCGGTTTTGTTATCGATATTTTTAGCGATTTTGTAATCGAAAATTTTATCGCTTTGTTGTCGATATTTTTATCGATATTGTTATCTGTTTTGTTATCGATATTTATATCGATATCGTTATTGGTTTTTTATCGATGTTATCGATTTTGTTATCGATGTTTTTATTGAATTTTTTATCAATTTTGTAAAAGATATTGTTATAGATAATTTGTCGATATTGTTTTCGATTTTGTTATCGATTATTTATTGATTTTTTTGCCGATATTTTTATCGATTTTATTGTCGATTATTTATCGATATTTTTATCTATTTTGCTATTGATATTTTGATCGATTTTCTAATCGATTTTGCTACCAGCATCATTATCAATTTTGCTATCGAAATTTTTATCGAATTTGCCATCGACTTTGTTATTGATATTTTTATCGGTTTTGTTATCGATATTTTGTTGGATGTTGCTATCGATTTTATAATCGATAGAGTATGAAGATAAAAATGAAGATAAATGAAAACAGAATAACATAAATGTAATTAGAACGAACAAGTGTAGAGGTAGGGATCTAGATAAAAAAGACAAAAAATATAACCTTCAGCAAAAGCGGATGTATGTATGTATGTATGTATATTGGTTATGAGACAAAATAGATATGTAACTCAAGTTTCACTTCTCTAGTGTGGCCCAGGCGCATCAAACTATAAAACAAAAAATTTATTGTAGTCGACGAGACAACCTACTTAAATGTAATTTTTGGCATGTAAAACGTGCTGTTGTAGAAATCTACCACTAAAACAAAAAAAGTCAAAAGCTAAAAATAAACATATCCAATCCCAAGACTTCTCAAAAAGATTGAAATAAAAACGGTAAACGGTAAAATAAGCAGGAAAATGTAGAAAACAAAGTCAAGATCGTGTGAAGGTTAAGAATGTCCTGTTCCAGGATTTTCTTCAAAAACGCTCCATCTCAACGGAAAATATATTGATATAGGGCGTTTTTGAAGCGGAACCTGAGACAGGGAGTTTTTGAATCGAATTCTGAAATAGGGCGTTATTCTATAAAATTCTGAAGTATTGCATTCTTTAAAGTATTTCGCAGTATGATTGAAATACCTCCAATAAAATATTCTTTAAGGTCGACTTTTGGCTATTTGTGCTTGCTGCTGTAGCTGGGTACCCTAAAAGCTCACTTTTATTCTTTTGTAGTCTAATTCTCTAAACAATTTGATATATCTCGTAGATACATACTTATGTTGATCATATTTTCATGCAACCATAACCGCCCCGCCTACCCCATTCCAAATCAATACTAACCCCTTACAATATATTTAATACTATTATAAGCAACCCTATGAATTGAAAATTAAGCCAATTCAATGACAAGCAACACAACCCAGTCGCGCTCTCTCTTTACATTTCTAACCATTGATGCCAACCTGTACAGCCAATTATCTAAGTATTTTCCATTTTTATAACAAACACTTAACCCAGTTTGCGCTTTTCGCTCCCAAAAAAAAATAAAATAATGTGTTACCATGTAAATATTCCACGACAATATTTGCATAACCATTTCACTGACGATAAAGCAAAAGAATCTCCATACTTTTTATCGATTTAAGTTGACTTAAGTTACATGAATACCATTACCAATAACGAGCAACGACCAGCATGACAATGTCACAAGCAAATATACAAACGTACGTAGGAGTTTAGATATAAACCGTACCTGGCTGTGGCAACTTGTAAGGGGCATGAACGACAAGCACACACCAACGCTGCAACACCAGTTGCTGGGGAAGGAGCAGGAAAATAGCTAGTCACTAATAAAATATGTGCTCCCATAAAATATGCAAGACTTGTATCGGCGCTTGAGTAGACGTAAAGTAGGTGCCAGCATTGGTAGTCAGCTGTTGCAGCAATGGCGATGGTTACTTACTTTGCTTGAGAGTACGTGCAACAATTCTACGGCAACTAGAATTAACCTTTTGAGCTCGAATAAATGAGCAGAAATATAACCACAAACAAATAAAAGTGCAAATGAGGTGAGGGAGGTAGAAGAAATGGGGAAGGAGAGGGAGCATGACAGAGATTTGATTGGAAATTGCATAGATTGGCAAGCTGGGACAAAAAATAATACTATGAAAAAAAAAAATAAACCAAATGCCCAAGGGACTGAAAGGAGTAAAAAATTTAATAATTCCAAAAGCGTTTGCACAGCTGAGATGAGCAAAATCAGAATTTTTGCACGGATACACAGCTATGTATGTGTGGGTGTGTCGGTGTGTTGGTGTGTTGCTGTGCGTGCGTGCACTTATTAAAAATGCTAACGGTTTATGCTTTACAATGTATTACAGTTACTAAAGTGCTGGCTGCGCTGGTTTTGCTTCGCTCTTCGATTACTAAAACTGACACACGGCCAGCATCGACGTGATTTTCGTGATTTTCATGCAAATATTGAAAAATACACCGCAAGCTATTTGCGAGAAGAAATAAAAAAAAATAAAAATTGAAAAAAGGTGGATGGAACCAGCAGAAAAGGGAAAAAGTGAAAAATGCCAGCAAATACAGCAAAGTGTAAAAGGAGTAAAAAATATTGACAGAAATCAGCTACACCAGGTATTCAATAAGGAAAAGACGCTAGCTTATTGGGAGCACATGCACCGGAGCATATGGAGTCTTGTTGGTAGTTTGTGTGTAGCAACAAAAGGGTACGCAAACTTTGTGGCAGTATCATTTCAGGTGCTCTGTGTATCTTTAACCCACCCAGGCCAGCTACAAAGCTAAAGTAAGGGAAATCAAGTATGCACGCACTCAGGTGGAAAACTGGTTACATATGATGCACAGCAAATGTAGCGGGAGTGGGAGAGAGCGAGAGAGAGAATGTGGAGCGGGTTATAAGAAGACTAAAGTGGCATGCCACAAATGTACATAGGTATACAACCGACCCAGCCACCTTCAGCTCGTGAGGCAAGCAAATTTTTTGTAACCCAACCAAGCAACTTTGCATAAATTTCACATAACGTAACCCAAGGCGATAGCGCAAGAAAAGCAGCATACAGAAAATATTCGCAAGAATGCTGCTGAAGAAATTACAGTTACTTATTTGAGCTGACAGCAGCGCAACGCAGCGTTGGTTGCAAGACAAGGCAGCAGTGGCACTCGGGCGGTGACAAGGCAGCTAAAATTCGCAAAAGTCGCTTGCTTGGCGTGGCATAGGCACAAACACACACACACACACACACATGTTCTGTCTGAGGTACTAAGGTGTCTCAAGTCTCTGGTGTCGCGTCCTTCCGTTGACTTGGTTGACTCGAGTTGAGCGTTGGTTATCTTTAATTTTATTTGCAAATATTATTTTTTTCTATTTATTTTGGTCGCTTGCGCTTTAACCCTATCACATTGGTGCGCGGCTCTAAGCAGCGCCATATGCATTTAAATATATGCAATTTGCTTTGCTGTATTGGTATGTATGTAGAAATGTGTGTGTGTTTTTTTTTTACTAAATCGTCAACCATCTTTATGTCAACTCACCGGCAACCTGTAATGTCGCATTCCGACTCCGCGCCACACCCAACTCATTTTTCGCCTCACACCAATAGACGCCAGCATCGGTTTCACGGCGCGAGTTTACAACCTGCAAGTAGAAGAAGAATGAAAAATTAACTTTTTATCTAGGAAATGTAGAGGAAACAAAAAAGATGAAAATTTGGTATGACGACCTCAAAAAACAACAAAGACTTTTTCGTTTTTATTTATGTATGTAAATACAAACTTTTGCTCGCAGCTTCGCACGCGTGAGTTTCGGTTAAATGTTATGATAGCAAATGTAACATAAAAAATGAAATCACCGAAAATAATAAATTTATTTTCAAAAGTTGGCTTTTTGTCTCGAGGTTCCCAAATATGGTAGGTAGTCTTTATACATCCTTTATGAATTTTAGAAATTAATTTTACAGATGTTAATTTTTCGAAATAAATATCAATAATAAAAAAATATAAAAATATCGATTATTATATCGAAAGGCTCCAACGATATCGATAGCAAAATCGGTAACAATATCGTTAAAAATTTCGATAACAAAAGCGATAAAAATATCGATTATTATATCGATAAGTCCCGATAATCTCGAAAGTCTCTAAAATCCCGAAATAGTTCCCAGATTGAGTTTCTGTGTGTCCATCTATATGCTTTATTTTAATCATTCGTCCTCTATCTTCATCTTTACATTTATCGGTATCCCCATCCTCATCCCTTTCTTTATATTTATCTTTGCTTTTACTTTTGTGTTTATACTTTTCTTCATATACATAATTCCCCTTCACTTAAGTAAATTGTTTCAATTTACCTTGGTCGTCGTTTTCGCCTTTATCTTTATGCATCTTTGTTTTGCCTTTATCTTTATTATTTTCTTTATCTATGTACGTACCAGAGTTGTGAAAAATGCATTAAATTTTTTAATGCATAGCATTTTAATGTAAATGAAAAAGATTAATGCATTAATTTTTGATATTTAATGTAAATGAAAATATCAATGCATTAATTCCGAAGAAATAATGCTAATGATTTTTTTTTTTGTTTTAACATTAAAATGTTTAAATGAATGCTATTGCAATAATTTATTGCATTCAAATTATAACAAGCATTAAAAACCCAGTAACTAATTTTATTTTTAAGTAAAAATTCTTTGCTGACGTTGAGGGTAGAATGTTAAGGTCAAAAAAGATAGTGACGGACGTTAAGGCTGGTTTTCACTATGTCAAGTTCAATGGCATTTGTCGTTAAATAGGTAAAATCACATTGTCAAATGGAGCTAAAGAACGGTTTATTGATTGATTTAGATCAGAGTAGGTCCTCAGTCGTGTACATGCATAATATATGTAATCGTTATGCATCAACAATCAACATAAAAATCTACAAACGCACTCTGCGTTGCATGCACATTGGCTTTCATTTTCATACATAAAAGATCTAACAATATTTAGAAGAATTTTTCTACAAATACACATAATATAATGAACCTGAAAAAGCTATTAGTAATTATTCCAAATCCTTCCAAAAGAGGTTATTTATATTTTACTAGAAAACAAATTTAATGGTTTTTAATAATGTAAACGAACAAAAGTATTAAACATTTTAGTGCATTAAAATTTTTTCATTAGCATTAGCTTGGATAATTTAATGAAAAAAAAAAATTAATTAGTATTATATTTTTCACAATTAATGCATTGAAATATTCATTTGCATTAAATTGCATAAATTAATGCATTCATTTTTTACATTAACATTATTGCTTTAAATACCATTAATGCATTAAAAAATTAATGCATTTTTCACAACTTTGGTACGTACTACCCTTTACTTTCATTCTTGTATTGTTCTTTTTCTAAATGTTATTCTTTAGCCTTTTATTAGCAAGTTTTTGTTAAATTAATACCATGGGCATACACTCAAGAAGCACTTGTTTCAGCTCCAACCATTTCCGTTGCACCATTTCCGTGTGAAATTTCCGTTGAACTTGCCAATTTACTTTCAACCAACCAACCGCCGCTAAAGAAGTTTCACTTCAAAAATTTCATAAAATCGGTCGAGCGGTTTTGGAAGAGCGCGACCACAAACATGACACGAGTTTTTTTGTATGCTTACACTTATGCTAAATGTTTGGCTGAGCTTTCTTTCCAAATTTGGTTTTCGTGTTGATATATTTTTTTAATGGATTTTATGAGAAGCGTTTTCATGGCAGAAATACACTCGGTATCGAAAAATTACAGCAAGCAAATATCAAAAGAGGCGCGTAGAGGTGTAACGTATACGCCTAGTCGTCTGAATAACTACGTATGTGAATACATATTTGCTTCCGTGCAGTGCCTTGGCGTTCCAAATGGAATGATCATCCATTTTGGCAATTGAAGATGATAGGTATGGTTTGTAGGTCGCTTTGAAAAGTTTCGTCAATTGGTCAACCCAAGGCAGGACCGGTCCTCTGCACCTGGTTATTCCATTTTGTTCGTTGGCGTCGTTGCTTTCTTTGCCCACCCATGGGTGCCAGCTCGAGATTACTTTTTACGGGTATGCGAACATGCTTGCGCACAATTTTTCCGGAGTAAAACCAAAAAATTCGTATTACAAGTGTTGGGAAAATTTAAAGGAAATTTCACGACCATTTTGAAAAAAGAATTAAAAAATATAGGTTAATAGGACTTTTTTTTCCAAAGTAACCGCCAAAGTAAAACAAGGGTCAGAAATTCTTGAAATTTTGATTTTATAATGTCCAGATTTCCCTAGAAACTAAAGAAACCAGCCCCAAAAATATGTTTTTCTAAAAAGCTGACTCAATTAGAAAAAAGCTCTATAGGTAGTCCTTCATTAGGGTTTTTCGTTTGGGCGTGAAAATTTTATCTCTATAACTACTGCCGATCACTTTCTTAGCCCTTTAACTCCCCAGGGTTGCATTTTAGATCCCTTCTGCAAAACTTTTCAGACTCTTTGATGGACTTGAGAAGTTTCATGAAGAAAAGATAAAGCAGCTTGTGCGTTCTCAACAAAAAGTGCTCCATCTCAATCTAGAAAATGCCAGACAGCTGAAGAGAGAAAATCCTCAGTACATATTTACTATATATTGTGTCCCGTAATCGTTCTTATCAAGGTTTTCGAGGACCTTTCAGGAAAGACTTGTTTGGTTTATTTGTATGTATTGAACCAACATATCCCATTTGCCGTATTAATAATTTTCTATTTGACGCTTCAAAATCCCGTAGTTGGCCAACTCATCAACTATTTTAGTACCTTGTATACAACACACAATTCCCAAAGAGGTTCGAGAAGCTTTCAAGATCCTTGAGAGCAACACTCACATAACAAAATCTAAACTCAGCTTAGCTTAGAGGTAGAGTGTTGGCTTAGGAAGTCGAGTGACTTTGGTTGGTTCAATTGGATACAGATGTCTATCTAGAATTTTGCTATTTATTAAATTTCTCGTAAATAAAAAAATTGCCTGCACGCTCCAATAACATTGTTGATAAATTGCTTTAACTTTTTCATTTACATTTTCCAAATATTTTCTCATTCTGTTTATGTTTGAAAAAGATAACCAACACCCTTTTTCAGTGCGATTTTTTATTTTTATAACCAAATCCATTCGTAAAATTACCCAATTTATTTTAAGTCAACAGGCATCAATTTTCTCAATACTTTTAACACACCAGGGGTAATGTACCTGTGTGCAAAAGTATAAGTATAAGTACATACACGCGTCAAAAATTTCTGCAATTCCCAGCGGCTGGCCTACTTCAGTATACATATATTTATGTGCATCTACTAACCCCCATTTATTACCTTTCACTCCATCTGCCGGCAGCCTGCCTTCACATCGTTCATCAATTCTTATGACGCATAAGTTTGCTAAATTGCTTCTCATCATAACCTGGTTATGATTTATTGCCACAATTACTTACCTACCAAAAATTGCCAAACATCCTTCGCAAAGTAAAAAAAAAAAAAATGCCACCAATAAAATAACAAACAATAACAAAAACCTGTTAACGTCAATCAGAAATACTTTCAATAATGCAACTCATCAAAATGCAAAAATACACAAAATTCATGTTGTGCGAACCGTTAAAAATTCACATCACTCATGACACAGCATGCGTGACTCTGCATGCCACACCCAACCAATTCACATACTTACGTACTTAAGTTGTAAGCTCACCTTATGCAAAGGCGTGTAGGTAGGCAACGGCAAGGTGTGGTAAATGGAAAATTGGTTGTAAGCTTATGGAAAAGTGAAACCTTAGGCGAAAGTGAAAGCTTAGCTGAAAGTGAGAGTGTAAGCTAGGCGAGTAAATAATTTACATATTTTAAAAAATGAAAAGTTGCTGTTTTTCCACCGTATTTATAAAGTGTATTCTATTTCTGGACTTCCACTTAAATATTTCGGAAAAATATCGGGGTTTACGTGAGCTAGGCTAAGTTGAAAATACATCGATATACAAAATCGATATATGTATGTAAAGAGAAGTAGTTTATAGAAACATTTGTTCCAAAAAATCACCACGAATTATATAAGAATTAAGCTTAACCCCCTTAGGATCAAAAGCCTATAACTCGTTGATTTGAATTGTAAACTGTGATTAACCGAGCCAAAAGTAATAATTCTTATTTTTTTTCTGATACTTTTACTCAAAAAAAATTTTCAATATACTCAAAGTTTTTCGAAAATTTTTAAAATATTTTTTTCCAAAATATATTTTTCCTAACATTCCCAACCCATTTTTTGCACAGAAATAGTATTGTTCGTACATAAGGGTACAGAAATTTTTTTCTTAATGATTTATTTTTACCTACGCTATTTTTTTAAGCAATTTAGCACCTTAAAATTTTTATACCAAACACTTATTTTTAAAATTTTTATTTCCAAATATAATATTTTCCGGAACAAATAACTTTTACGGCAAACTACTTTTTATTCTTCTAAAAATCTTTGTTTCTAAGGTTTAGTAAATTTGTTCTAAAAACTGTTTCCTAATTACGTTTTGTAGTAAAAAATAGGAAAAGATAAAAAGGTCTAAAACCCTACGCGATTCCTTATAAAAAGTGGCATTTCTATTTGAAACATATGTCAAAAGATGTGCATA